TTTTTTTTTTTTTTTTTTTTTTTTTTTTTTTTTTGCGGTACGCGGGATTCTCACTGTTGTGGCCTCTCCCATTGCGGAGCACAGGCTCCGGACGCGCAGGGTCAGCGGCCATGGCTCACAGGCCCAGCCGCTCCGCGGCATGTGGGATCTTCCCGGACCGGGGCACGAACCCGTGGCCCCTGCATCGGCAGGCGGACTCTCAACCACTGAGCCACCAGGGAAGCCCAGAACTTATACTTTAAAATGGTTAAAATGGTAAATTTTATGTTACATATATTTTACCACAATAAAATAAATAAAATTCAGCTCCCATGATAATTCTTTTCTTACACTTGGAATATTCCTTTGCAGTCTCCTTTGTAAGCTGTTCCTACTGAATACCTTATATGCTGGTATTCTTCAGGATTGTGTCCTCATTTTAAATACTTTCCTTGAATGATCTTCTCTACACCCACGACATCAACTACTACCATCATGCTTAAGGCTTCTGAATCTGTAGTCTAGACTTATGCCTCTATACTTAAATTTCCTACTGCATCCTCCCTATGTAAATAGCCCCTATAGGCACCAGAAACACAAACTGAAAGCATTCTCCTCTGGGCACACATCCACTCTCTCCCCATTATTCCCTCTTAAAGCTATCAACATTTACCAATCAGAGCTTGGGTAATCTTTTCTACAAAGGGCTGAACAGTAAATACTCTGGTTTTGTGGACCATTTAGACTCCATCACAACTATTCACCTGCTGTTGCAGTGTGAAAGCCAGCCACAGACATATGTTAACACATGATTGTGGCTGCATTCAAAAAAACTTGATTTACAGACACAGAGGTTTGAATTTCATATAATTTCCATATTTAACACAATATTACTCCTTTACTTTTTTTAATCCATTTGAAATATAAAAACCGTTCTTGGCTCATGGGCCATAAAAAATGAGAAGCAGGCCAGATTTGGCTCACAGGTTGCAGTTTGCCTATCCTGACCTAACTTAAAACTTGGAAATTATCTTTGATCCTGCTTTCTCCTCTATCTGCCATATCCTATGCATAACGTTAGTCATGTCATTTTTGCTTTGCAGATCTCTCTAACCTCCTTACTATTTCTTCTGTCACTACCACAGTTCAGTCCTTCAACTTCACTCTGGAAAATAATACCCTCTTAACAAGTGTGCCTATATTAAACACTGCCCTATGAAACTTGTCTTCCCTAGTTCTGCCAAAAATACCTTTCTAAAATGTAAATCAGGCCATGTAAACTAAGCCTGCTTGAAAATCTTCAACAATGGCCAAATTACAACATCGCAGCTCCTTAGCATTGTATACAAAAATCATCATGATCTACCCACTCCATTAGCTTTTCAGCTTTGTTTCCTACCACTCCCCACCTCCCATTTCATGGTTCAACAATACACTGTACTCTTGCACCTTTAATGCCTTTATGCATGATCTTCTGCCAGTGGGGAATGAGATCCCACTATTTGCTCGATGAAGTGATTCATTCCGGAAGACCCAGCTCAGGCACTGCCTCCTCTGTAAAGCTTTTGACCCATGGTCCCCATAAGCACTAGGTGTTTTGGCTCCATACTATTTCTATACTTTGTATTTTTCTTATATAAGTCACATTTCATTATTGACTTACATGTCCTTCTGTCCCCTTTACTCTTATTTCTCTAGTACCATGCTTGATCAGAGCTGGCAAGCAAATATTTAAAATCCAGTATAACTAACTTAATACTGCATAAGTTAAGATATGAAAACAACTTAATAGTGAACACAAGTCCTTTCATACAGAGCAAACTGTTTGCAATTTCAACCATCAGCACACCATTTCTCACGTCCTTTCTGTTGTACCTATTAAGCTCTCTCCTTGGAACACCCTATCCACCAAGAAAAACTAGCTAGTACTTATTCAACCTTTAAGATTAACTTTAGGCATTACATGCTCTAAGTGGCCCACCTTAGAACTCCAACACTGGTTTAGACATACCTAGCTCATTATACTAAACTTTTTATATTATAATAACCTATTTCTGTTTGTATCTACAACTAGCATGAGGCTACCTTGAAAATGCACACTTCATCTCTGCAGTCCTAGTACCTAATATAATGCCTAGCACAAAACAGATGTATGATAAATGTTTGCAAAATTAATCAATCAAGGGTGAAAATGATACCTGATTTTCCTTCTCATCTTTAATTCCTATCACATTGATTAGAAAGTACTGGTTGAAATAAATGTAAACATTTCTAACTACTGATATTTACAGGTCCTCAGTGGTTTTATATATTTCTATATTTTATATGTTTATATCTTATAAACAGGTTGTATATATTTCCATTAAAGGCCTTTTCCACATTTGTAATGTGAAATTTAGTTTTGAACACTGTTTTATGCTCAGTACTAATTCTTTCTATCAGCAATTAATGAAAGCAAACACACAGTGAAAAGGATAATGTTCTCGATTTCAGATTCAGTATTTAACATTTGCGTGCACACTTAACAAAGTATCTGAACTTCAAACTCTAAAGTTATTAAAACAAATATAACCATGCAATAAAGTTGAATAGAATACAATACCGCTTCCATTTTTAGACTTCTTCTGCCCTGGTTTCTTCTTTGAGGCAGTTGCTTCCAAGGGGGGGGTGGGCTGTTTAGTAACTGGGACAGGTTCCACTTTTTTGCATGGAATAATCTTTGATACATCACTTTCTTTGGTGACCTGTTCTTCTAGTACAGGCTTGTGTTTCTTTTCCTTCTTCTTTCTTTCTCTAACACTACTTGAACTTTCAACCACATTCAGTGGAACAGGTACAACTTGCTCATCTTCCACAGCCAAGGCATCAGATAATTTAAAGTCCCGGGGTACACTCTCAGAATCAGATTCATGGAGGTTCCCATTTTGGAGTTCTTTCTTTTTATTCTTTTTCTTTTCTGCCTTCTTTTTATCTGTTTTGGTAGGAATAAGCTTTTGTTCTCTTTTCTGTTTTGCAAGAACTTCATCATATAATGTTTCTTTCATGAAAAGCCAGAAGAAGAGGAAAATTACTGTAATAACTACTGAAGGAATAAGAACAATAAAATATGTTGACTCATAAAACTCCATGGTGCTTTTGCTAATGCGATCCTATAAAACCTAAATGTGAAAGAAGGAAAAAAAAAAAACCTGAGTCAGTCTTATTAAACACAAAAAACCTCTGTTCTTTCAAGTGGTATTTCATATTTAACCTGATCTACAAATCTGAACAGGTTAGTTTTTTAAACCACATACTGGATTACTTTGCCAAATACAATTTGAATATACTTTTAAAAAAAATTTGTGGTAACTAGGAGTGTAACACAGCCTTCCATTTTTTTTTTTTTTTTTTTTTTTTTGCGGTACGCGGGCCTCTCACTGTTGTGGCCTCTCCTGTTGTGGAGCACAGGCTCCGGACACGCAGGCTCAGCGGCCATGGCTCATGCGCCCAGCCGCTCTGCGGCATGTGGGATCTTCCCAGACCCCACGTGCCCATGGGGCACGAACCCCCCCCACGTGCCCATGGGGCACGAACCCATGTCCCCTGCATCGGCAGGCGGACGCTCAACCACGGCGCCACCAGGGAAGCCCCCAGCCTTCCATTTTTAAATCATGTGAAAAGGTTCTAACGGAAGGAAAAAAAACTTAGCCATTCATTACTTTTTCCCCAAAAATATCCACTTTTGACACTATTAGTATTTAGTTTTCCTCTTACTGTACAATGTTCATGAATACTACTATACATGGAAATAAAGAGGCATTAACTATTACCAACACACTAGATATCCATTAAAAGTACCACACTCTTAACTACAAAGAAAACAAAGGTGGTTCATTCCTCCACTTAAAGATTTAAGTCCATTCACAAACTGTGAGCACCTTTATTCCAGTTAACTAACAGCCTCATGACATGGTGGGATACAACAAGGATATGGAAATATAATATAGTAAAAAATCAAAATGTTAGGATATGTCATTTGGCACTAAAATAAATTACAAATAAAATGCTTTTCTCAATTTTTTTCAAGGTACCTCTTACTGTAAAAAAAGTTATACTGCAAAAACAAGGGCAATCACCATCCTCTCTTAATAATGTTTAATTAAGAAGCAAAATTTTTAATGGTATTAACACAACCCTGGACTTACTAAGTGAAGGTTTTAACAAGATGAAGGGGAAAAGGAATCATGTGCTAACAAAATACTAAAAGGAACTTTATACAGAATTGTTCTTCCCTGATAATTCATGAACTATCCAAGATTTTTAATTTTTTAAACATATTTTACTGTGCCTGTTAGTGGTCAACCAGAAATGCTTTTTAAAAGATGTTTGTTTGTTTGTTTTGTGGTACGCGGGCCTCTCGCTGTTGTGGCCTCTCCCGTTGCGGAGCACAGGCTCCAGACGCGCAGGCTCAGCGGCCATGGCTCACGGGCCCAGCCGCTCCGCGGCATGTGGGATCCTCCCGGACCGGGGCACGAACCCGTGTCCCCTGCATCAGCAGGCGGACTCTCAACCACTGCGCCACCAGGAAAGCCCTAAAAGATGTTTTATTTTTGATTTTTGTTTGTTTTAACATGACCATCTACAGGCTACAAAGCCTGTTCAACTTGGCTGGGGAATTGGGGGAGAAAAAGGACAAAACAATGACTTAGAACTCTATGGATTTTTGCTTTGAGGAAAGAAAAGAGGCTAAGGCACTTAGCAGCAATCACAGATGCTGAAAAAAGGTCAAGTCAAAGTCAGAAGGGCTTTGATGAACAGCAAACTGCAGCCACATGCAACTTAAGTCTTAGGAGAGCAAAATCTATGATGAAGCAGAGCAAGAAGCAAACGTTCAGGGAGAAAAGAGGCCATGAGACCACAAGAACTCTGAAACACATATTCCTCAAATGTTCTGATGATTTTTCTAGGTCCCTTTTCCAGGTCCCACACAAGCCTGGAAGAATTATGATTTCCATTTCTGGATTTTTCAGGAGATTCCCTTCACACAGTTCAATTCCCAGTCATGTGAGCTCTCTTTCTGCAACTAGGAGGAGCCCAACCAAAACACCAAGGCAAATTTAAAGTCAAGAAAGTGTATGCATTGCTTTAATCCAATATTCCTGATTCTTTATCCCAAGAAATTTACAAAGAAAAGCATATATAAAGATGTTCATAGCAATATTACATATAATACAAAAAACTGAGATAGAATATACAACATCAGAATGGGTTAAATTAGCAAATATCAACTCAATAAAACGCTGCTGTTAAAACTGTAAATACTGAGACTTTCTTAAATTCAATTAAATACTGAATAGTCAAAATCACAGTTTTACTTGTATGATCAAAACATCTCATGTATAATAGGTTATTAAGATGAATATGTAAATTAAAGAGTTGTGCCATAATCAACCATGGGTGCAGTCTCGCTTGCCTTAATATTTTAAATTTTGTTAGTTTAAGAAAAACTCATAAAAGTTTTAATTCCTTGCTTTTTTTTTTTTTTTTTCTTTTGCCGTACGCGGGCCTCTCACTGTTGTGGCCTCTCCCGTTGCGGAGCACAGGCTCTGGACACGCAGGCTCAGAGGCCATGGCTCACGGGCCCAGCCGCTCCGCGGCATGTGGGATCTTCCCGGACCGGGGCACGAACCCGTGTCCCCTGCATCGGCAGAAGGGCTCTCTACCACTGCGCCACCAGGGAAGCCCTAAATATTTTTAACATACAGTTCATTGTTCAACTTTTAAAATTTTTCTACATTACCAACAGAAACTTAAGTAACCATGCTGAATGCACAATATTACACTTTTAAAAGTTTAAATAAACACAAATTAAAAAAGAACCGTTACTTACATATTACAAAGAAAAATGCAAGCAGTTTGACAGGTATACTATTGAATTTCAAGTAAATGTAAGAATTTTGAAATCTCTTTCCTTACTACCACAGTATTTTAGTTACTCTTGCCTCTGACATCATTTTCTTTAAACTCAAAGAACATTTAAAACAAATGACACCAAAAAACTAATTTTATAAATTATCTGTGCTTCAATTGATAGAGGTATGTCAACTGGAGTGACTCGAAAGAACCAGTAAGAAAAATATAACAAAAATTCAAGACTGAAATCTGAACAAACTGAAAGTCAATTTTTTTCCACTGATGTATACCAAACAACATACAAACAAGCATATTTGTAAAGAGCAAGCAAAGATTTGAGGGAAAGGTAGTTTTCAACCCAGGAACACTTAATTTCTTAAAAGTTCCTGTATAAATCTGTAATGTCTGAACAACTAAATGAATACACCTTTAAAAGATATACAGGCAGGGCTTCCCTGGTGGCGCAGTGGTTGAGAGTCCGCCTGCGGATGCAGGGGACACGGGTTCGTGCCCCGGTCTGGGAAGATCCCACATGCCGCGGAGCGGCTAGGCCCGTAAGCCATGGCCACTGAGCCTGCGCGTCCGGAGCCTGTGCTCCGCAACGGGAGAGGCCACAACAGTGAGAGGCCCGCGTACCACAAAAAAAAAAAAAAAAAAAAAAGATATACAGGCACCAAGAGTAGCCTACAAGAGCTTTATTCAATGCACAACATAGTTATAATATTACTAGAAGTAGCTGTGAAACCTAAGCTGAAAGCTCTTATCACAGGTTCTTTGTAAAAACAGAGTTCGTGGGCTTCCCTAGTGGCGCAGTGGTTGAGAGTCCGCCTGCCGATGCAGGGGACGCAGGTTCGTGCCCCGGTCCGGGAAGATCCCACATGCCGCGGAGCGGCTGGGCCCGTGAGCCATGGCCGCTGAGCCTGCGCATCCGGAGCCTGTGCTCCGCGACGGGAGAGGCCACAACAGTGAAAGGCCCACGTACCAAAAAAAAAAAAAAAACAAAGTTAAAAAAATCTATCCGTAACCTGATCATGCTGAATCTAAGTAGTCTGTATTCTAAACATGCCATGTTTCTCTTCCTTTAAATCCATAATAACATCTTATGTTGTTTTTTTAATGTTCAAGTTAATCTTTTTAAGGAAAACTTTATTTATGGAAGTACCATACACTGATAAAAAGTATATTCATGGACAAGTATCACTTACTCAGATTTCCATTACACAACAGAAGTTAACTACAGTATTTTCTGAACCCTTCTTGGTAAAATGTAAGATTAAACATTATGGTGTCACTAACCTTCAAATAAAGTATGCATGTCATATTCTTCTGAAAAAAAATAAATTTTAAAATTGATAAATGGCAATATAAGAAAGCACTAAAATAAAGTCAAGAGTCTTGACTTTTGGTCCCAATTCTGCCTTGGCTCCAGGGGTCTCTTCTTACATAGGTCTAAAGTCCAAACTACTTAACATGATCTTGAAAATGCCAAGACAAAAAATTTAAGTGGTTCCAAAGTTGGTGGTGCCCATAGTGCATGTGGCAGAAGTGAATGCACATCTTCTTTGGTATATTGCTCCCTCAAGCCAGGAACCTCAAGATTTCCAAAGAAGACTGTCATCCAGATAAGAGCCCACAACACAAAATGACAGAAGCCACCATGAGCAAGAGGCAACAAAAATAAACTAAGGAATCACATCCCTAAAGATTCAAGATACTGGAATTAATAGATATAGATTATAACCTATACACATAAAGAAGAGGTAACTGGAAAAATGAGCAAAGAACAGAAACTATCAAAAGTAACTGGGTTGGGCTTCCCTGGTGGCACAGTGGTTGAGAGTCTGCCTGCCAATGCAGGGGACACGGGTTCATGCCCTGGTCTGGGAAGACCCCACATGCCGCGGAGCGGCTGGGCCCGTGAGCCATGGCCGCTGACCCTGCGTGTCCGGAGCCTGTGCTCCGCAACGGGAGAGGCCACAACAGTGAGAGGCCCGCGTACCGCAAAAAAAAAAAAAAAAGTTACTGGGTAGATACGAATCAATTAGGACTTCTACAAATAAAAATTATAATCAAAATTTAAAATCCAATGGATAGGTTAACACAGGTGCAAGGACACCGATTAAAATGACTTTCAATAGGCTAAAGTGAGAGTGAATTAAGTCAATGCAGATAGAGGACAAGGCAACTATTAGAGCATGGTGAAGGACTTCCCTAACAGTCCAGTGGTTAAGACTCTGTGCTTCCAATGCAGGGGGCGCAGGTTCAAC